GTTGCCTCTGACATTTGCTCTCTGTGTGAGAATGAACCCAGTAAATGATTCTATTATCGGGTATTTTTGCAGGATGGTATTACTCAGGTATGTGTGCAAACTGCTTTAAGGCTCTTTGGTTCAGTAATTCTATCTCAGAGGTACATGGAACCATTTCTCCTAGGTTGTCCTCTGTGACCTACCTTCTGCTATTTAAAGTAATGCAAATTTAGCTCGAAGTGTTCCTTTTTCTGCAGACTTCTGAAAGTTAAAACTTGTGACAGTTTAGTTCTTGCTATGCTCCTGGCTCGTCTTCACATCCAAACAAATGTCTTGCCTGTCTGTGAGCTTCGCTTCTGGTGACTCAGAAAGTAGAATTATTTATATGTCTCAATTTCCTTAGGAAATCTTTGTGTCTTTCAACTGCCCTTCTTCTAGTCTGGTTCTCAGGTCAATGCAAGAGGTTGATGAGTTGCGTAGACTTACAGATATATGTCCAAATGTCTATTTATGTGGCATCTTAAACTGTTGGATGCAAACCTTCCCATCACTGCCAGAGGTAGGAGATTACTTCCACACAGACCAGCTAAGTTCAGAGACATTGGTTGAAAGAGGCACAGCGGCTGAAGGCTGTGACCAAATTCACCTGTGACCAAATTCACCTCTGCCCATCGCAGTTCATGTGAAGTTGGGTTTGTTCAGTGGGTGTTGCTTCTTGAAACAGTATGGGATTTCTTTGCAGTTGTGCTTGGAAATGGTTCAATACACTATCTGGCACACATTTGTAATTCAAAAAATAGATTAAAAAAGAAGCAAGTTGAAGTAGAACAACAATGGATTAAGAGAAACACTTATCTCACTTCCTTTCATTCAGCTTTGCTGTGCATGTGGTTTGGGACCCAAATGCTTGGGATTATTTGATTGCTGAAGCAATAAACGTTTTGGATGTAAACTCACTCCATGCTGCTCCTGGGACTGAACCTGACATTTGTTTTTGGTTCTTGGTTATGTTCAAGAGCCATGGTGGTGAGTTTTATCTTGCTGTTATTTAGCCACACTTTGTTTGCCAAGTCTTGATGTCAGTAACATGAGGTATCTTCATGCCCTGATCAAAGGCTTGTGTTAACAACAAACTCATCTCTGCACTCGAAGGGGAAGCATAGTTCCAATCTCTTGTGACAAAAAAAAGCACAAAAATGCAGTTTTTTAGTATGTGAAATAATGTTGACTAAGGAGTTAATCTGTGTAAACAAAGTCTATACCTTGGACTCAGATAAATCGTTTCTTCAGGTTAATTTAATGTTGCATAAATAGCTCCAAATGGGGAATAACTCATAAAAGAAGTGTTTTTTTCATCTTACATAGCAATGACCTAGGTTTTTCTTTCTTCCAAATAAGGAATTAATAATGCAATAGCTGTTGTTTCCGAAGAGCTCAGCTTTTTGCGAAGTGTCTTGGTTTTTTTTCTCCTCTAGACCCAGTGAAACACATGGGCGTTTGGAGCCTTTAATAACTGTTCACAGAGCCTGCTCTTGATTTCTTTGAGAATTGCCAATGATTTTGATGTCAGAGTTGAGAGGTACAATTGTAGTGTTACATTTCTCAAGTCAGACCAGTTGAAAAGGAAGGTCAAAAGCAATAAGGTCCAGGTTCCTTGGGGTGGGTGGGGGCGTAGGATAATGTGTGACCACAGCGCTTTACACGGGCGTATCGCCCAAGAAAAAGTTTGGCTGTCACAAAACTAATAAAGAACAAGCCTCTGGAGAGATGGTTTCAATGATGCAGGTGTAGGAATCGGGGAGTGTGTTTACATACAAGCCAGCTTAATAGCGTGGGATTTATGCTAAAGTGGTTCTTAATGCAATACGAATTGAATGCCCCATCTCGCTCAACAAGAGGAAAATGTTAGAAGGAAAGATTTCTTTATAGCTTTTGGGGAGAAAGTGTTTGGCCTTTTTTAGGGACCATAAGGGACAGCAAGATGGATTTCTTCGGGTGCTTGCCATGTTAAACTAGTGCCTTAGGTATGTGCCTCAGATATGGAGCCAGCCTTCCAAGCTGGTTCTCTGCTGCCTTGAAAATCCGGGTTTCAAATAGATTTGGGCAAGGTTTCTGCCATCTATCCAGCAACACGGACTTAAAATTAACTGACTGAAAAAGCAGATGAAATTTGTTGGTTTTGTTGTTTGGGTTTTTTTGTTTGTTTTAAAACTTTGACATTACAAAGAAGTCCTCAATGAAAGCAGCTGTGACTCCACAGCCTCTTCTTGAAACTTCCATCTTTTCCCTGCTTCTTTCCTACCCATAAAACAGCTATTATGTGTTTATAAGTTAGCGGTCTGTGTCACTTATAAAAGAGGACTTATTCATAAACTTCTGGATACACAGTTCTATGGGAATATTAACTTTCTTGGCATAAAATAAGCCACTTTTTCCAGATTATGTAATGCTATACCAGGCTATTTAAAGTCATAGCATGCTATTTAGTATTCTTTTATAATCTATAAAAGACACCAGTGTCAAACCTTCAGCATTATTGAGAATGGCATTATACTGAATCAGCAGACTAGATAGGGAAAACCCCAGGCAAAGCTCCTGTTCCCAGGAACAGTCACCATCAAGGTGCTGACGGATGCTCAGGGCTTGTTGCAGGGCAGCTTTCCCCAAGCCTCCTCTCTGCAGACAGCAACCACTGCGGTGATCACAGAGAGGCACATCTCATTTTCAAGGCCAGGTTGGATGGGGCTTGGAGCAATCTGTTCTAGTAGAAGGTGTCCCTGCCTGTGTTCTTATAGGAAGTGGCCCCTGCCGGTGGCAGGGGGTTGGAACTGGATGAGCTTTAAGACACCTTCCAACACAAACCACTCTGGGATTCTGTGATTCTATGATTTTTTGGATGGGATTTGCTGGCTCCAAGTTAGACATTGTTGAAATGCTCTTGGACATAACCATTCAGCTTATGAGGTCGGGGCAGGTGACTTGGACACACACATACACGTGCCTTAGAAATGCTTTTTAATGGGCTGGAAGTGGTATTGACTTCAGTTATCCAGGAACCAGCAGGAAGCCAACACGTGATTGTCTTTGCTTTCTGAATATGTGGAAGAGCACTAAGCCCACAAAACCACAGTGCTCTTCAAAGGACAGCGGCTGCCTCAATCTCCAGGTTTCCAGCTGACGTGGATTTGGGGGTGACAGATGGGGATCACATTGGTCAAGTCCATGTGCAAAAGATTCTTGCTGCTCCCTGACTGGGAGGCACTGTTCTTCTGCCAGAGCAGTCTGCTTGGAACCTGAAAGAAGCCATGGCTATGCACCCCATGGAAAGGAGACATCACCCCCTTAGCATATGCTCCTATTTACTTCTATTTATAAAGAGCATCCAATACTCTGTGCACTGATTATAACAGCAGGGACTGAAAGAGATTTCCTGGCTCATTGAGTCCAGACCTCGGCTATCTCAGGCAAATTCCCAGCGCATTTGCCTTCATAAACCCTCCACAGTGCTTTGAGAGCATTTAGGCTGTTCTCCCTATGGAATGGACATGTCCAGGGGCAACCCAAGCTGGGCTGATGCTCAGAGAGACAGCAGTGGGCAAGTATCTTGATGTGGATATCTTGTGCCCATTACTGATGGGTTTGGGGCTGAACAAAGGGTAGTTGAGTGGAATAGTTTTCAACTGGAAGATGCCTCCAAGGCAGAAGGACGGATCATCTCTGTTCAAAGCCAGGTTGGATGGGGCTTTGAGCAACCTGGTCTAGTGGAAGGTGTCCTATGGCAGGAGAGCTGGAACTAGATGATCTTTAAGATCCCTTCCAAGCCAAACTATGCTGTGATTCTATGGTCAGCATTGCCACTGGAGACCTTTAACATGACCTGTGAAGCCCTGAGTGCATCAGTCACTACCTGCTCCTTCCACATCCCTACCTTCAGCTGAATGGGAGTGCTGGTGTGAGTCTAGGCATTGCTCTGGAATTTCTGGGTTGTGGCTGGAGCACACTGGTGGTGACCTACCTGCTGCTCTAGCCTGGGATGTCGGGCAGCTGGATGAAGCTACATAAAGAGCCTGTGTAGGAGTGTCTGGCTGCCAGGGGGCTGAAAGAGAGGAGCTGAAGCATTGCTGACATTCCTTAATGTCAGCATTAATGTGCCATTAAACACGAGTCTCCTCAGTTCCTGGAATATTCCTTGCCCGTGTGCCTCTCTAAAATGCAACCAGCATCTTGTAAGTGGAGCGGGGGATGCTGAGGAGGAAGGTGCAACCATATCCTCTGCAAGGGCTGCCCAGTGTGAAGTTGTACTGCGAGGCACCTTGTAGGAACCTGCGGGCTCTAATTGATAACACATTAAATCTCAATGGCCAGCACTCTGTGGCCATGGAGCGATTGTAATGATAAATCAATAGTCTGATAGGAGACCAGAAATCTTTTGACACTTATTCAAGAGGGACTTGTCAAAACACTATGTATTTATGACCAAGTTCCTGCCTGCCTGTTCAAAGGCACTTGAACCCTTGCCAGATCCTAAACATGCTCTGATTCTCAGGAGTTATACTCAGCATAATAAGTGGATATTTCACAGTAAATATTGCCATGTCAGAAAGCTGGCAGAAGCACCAGTTGACAAGCAACAATTGGCTGCTTTGTCTCGTGCTGTGCAGGCTTGTCCCCATCAGCGGCAGTGCTCATGAGCAGGAATTCCTGCCCGTAACGGGCTCCAGCCTCATGGGCATTAGGAATTAAAAATGCTTTCAAGCAAACTGCGGCTCGTTGAGTCTCAGATGCCTCTATCTGAACAGTCAGCATAAGGAATTGGGAAGTCTCAATGATTAATCTCAAGCACAAAAGCCGGCTGCTGGCTGGTGGAAGGTATCTGCTTTTCTCTGAGGAAACCAATTCATCAGTGTTCTTTGGGAGTCATAACAGTTATTTGAGGCAAAGAGGCTTATTTAGTGTGTGGCAGCCTGCGAACTGGTGGAGTTACAGACCAGAAATGTTCATGATTCTCTGTCCTCTTGCAGCTCTGCAACGCATCCAGCATTTCAGCAACACAGTGTGGGCTAGAATGCGCATCCTGCGCCTGTAGTGTGGGCTCTGTACCGAGAGGAGAGGGATGCCCGAGAGGACAGGGATGCCCGGGAAGAGAGGGATGCTCTCGAGGGCAGGGGTGTGACCTGGTTTTGCGCAGTGCTCAGCATTGTGCTGGTCCAAGTCACACCTGGGGTCTCTGCGATGGGAAAACAGCAAAGGTTGGGATGAAGAGGGGGAAATGAAGTGATTTACTGGGCTTGTCATCTCTGTGACTGGTGTTTGTCATTGCTGAGGATGCCTGGCAGTGCATCAGAGAGCGTGGGCTTTAAGTGGGGTCTTATTTCTAATAAGAACTTAAACCCTCCAGTTACATGGTCCTGACAGGGCAGGCGTAGTTACTAACTGGCAGAACAGGCACAAGGGACTAAAAGTCCTTGACCATCACCTGTATTTACACAGGTCATTAACTCCCTGGACACTCAGGTGCAAACTAGGGGTGGAGAATCATCTTGTAAGATGCCCAAACCCCTTTAGGCAGATTGAGAGCTCAAGGAATAATTCCCATTTCTATGTGAACCCCAGCTGGGAAGATGTTCATGTAAGAGAAGGTCAGGTACGGCAGGAGGGATGTCCTTGATGAACCCCAAGCCAGGGACCCTCAAAGCTGATAAATCCCAGGGAAAGGGAATTGATATGGGACTTGGGCTGCCCCAGGGAGGTGAGGTTTGGTGTGAACCCCAGATCCTCTAGTCTCATGGCTGGACAGACAGGTGAGACAGACGGACTAAAAAGCAATCTTAACCTAGAGATAAATTATGTTTGTTGTAACCTTCCCCTCTTACCTCTGAAAATTTGATCTTAACTGTCTTTTGGAGAAGACTTTGCTTGGTTTGGAGTGTGAACCCCTGGGCTGCCCAGGGAGTGTGGGGTTGGGATCGGGGTGATGAGAAGAGCTGCAGCTGATCCCAGCACTGGGATTAAAACCTGGCAAAGCAGCGTGAATGCCAGTGCTCCCAGTAGCCTGAAACTTGGAGTAAGCTGAGAACATGCCCTCTGCATTTGTGTGCTGCTTCTCCGAGCTGGAACAGGAGCACCCTCACAGACCCTTTAGCAGATGGAGCTCCAAGGGTATTGCGCTTTCTCCAACCTACCTTAATTAATTGTTCTGTAATTGCACAGAGACTTCGTTTCTCACTTCCCACCTTTCCCTGCGAAATGCATTTCAATTTTGTTTTCTTTGGCACAGGAATCTTTTATTTTTTTTTTTCTCTGACTCCTGTTTACATTGTTGGTGGCTTTGATTCCTCAACTGCTCTTTGAGGAGTTCTCATCGAGGGGGATATTTATATAGGACTTGAGCAGAAAAAGGCAAAGCGAGCAGGGAACCTAAACGCGTAATTCCTGTCAGAATCTATCTCCAGCTTTTGTTAGGAAAACATGTTGTACTCTCCGAAACACCTAGGTTTAAAAGCTTCAGATCCTTCTAATCTGCTATTCTGTAGTATGGGGGGTGGAAAAATGTGTGTAACATCTGGTCTCTATCATGCAAGAGGTACTTTGAAATTCGTATGCTATTGCCAATTTATGTGATCCTATGCTTTTTGTGCGCATCGCATGGATCAGATAAGCCTTTGACACTGATTTATACTGCACTGACATGTGCTATTGCTGCTTCTCTGTCCCTCACATGGGGAGGAAGCCCTTGACCACTGCTTTTGGAAACTGAAAAGTGGCTCCAAGGTTTTAATACCAGTCTCTTTCCAGGAATAAAATGAAGTTTATTTCCTGTTGCTGTCTTGTTTGTATTGCCCTGAACATCCTCTTAAGTTTCCTGTTCATTCTACTGTTGCCCATTAGCAATACTTTTTTAGTCCCCCATGTTTCCGTGTTCCTGCTGAGTAATAGTTCTGGGTTTATGTGCAGTTTTTCTTGGGAGTTGTCAGAGAATAATTACGCCCCATTAACTCCACTTTGTATCATTACTAATTCACACCTATAAAGTATTTTCCAAGCAACTGATCTCAGTTGTCTCTTAATTGCTGAAGTCCATAAACTCTGTTAGACTGAAGTTGTGCTGAGGATTTGCACCCTCTAAACCTTTTCCCTCCAGTGCAAAACATAACAGAGAATCTGAATGCAGCAGCTTTATCAGATCTTAATTCTTCCTAATTTAAGCAAATTATTTGTTTCTGGCTCTTTTGAGGACTACAAAATGTATATTATGATATAAAAAGCGTGAGACTAGAAAGGTGGTAAAAGTACAGATCATGTTCCCAGTGTAGTAATCTAACAGTTTGTGTTGCTGGATGATGTTGAGTGGCTGGCTGAGATTGGATACCAATCCTTCTCTCACCTCTCAGAGGCACCCCTCTCTCACCCGTTCCAGTGAGTTGGAGCAGGTAGTGAATGGTCTGAGATCCAGCTGGGTCAACTATGCTGCATAGACAGTGACCTGGGGTGAGGATCTAGAGTGAGGCTCTGCAGGAGCCCAGCAATGGGAGCATCCCGTGGGGTGCTTCCCAAAGGACTTCACCTGCGAGGGAGCTGACATTGCAGGAGTGCTGCTGGGACAAACCCAGTTCTTGGGTGCCTGGGCAGGGATCCTGGCTGTCCAGTGCCCATTGTGCAGCATGGCCCTGGGGGCTGCTGGCATCGGAGCCAACCCCCAGCCCTGGGTATGGGTACAGAGAACAGCAGGAACAGACAGAAGCTTTTTTGCTGGTTTACTCCATCTTAATTGTGATTAATGAGCAGTTACATCCAGGAGAAGCGTGAAGATTAGTGTCCTCTAAACAAAACCACCCCATATCATCCTACCCTGAAGGATACAGTAAGTATAAACCATTCAACTGAACTTGTCCCTGCCTAGCCAAAGAGCTTGTCCCTGCAGTGCCAAATCATGCCGCAGTCCTTGGGCATCCCAAGTGGAGCAGACGGAGCTGCTGCCTTCTCTGCCATCAGCTGTTCCTGCAAGGAAAAGGCTCAGTACCGGAGACCTGCCAGAGCCAGCGGGCTGAAGCGCTGCTCCAGCTCCCTTCAGATAACAAATGGCTTTAACTGAGCAGAAAAGAAAAAAATACTGTTGGTGGCTTTTGTTGCCATGGAAAAAAGTCCTGGATCCCTGGCAGAGAAGCAGTTTCTGCACAGAAAACATGACACTATTTACAAAAAGCCATGCCTAATATCCTTTTCCAGATTGGAAAGAGGAGTTTATTTTAATACATCCTTTTTTAATTGCCATGAGCTGGACTTGTAAATATTGTAAGTGGTTGAGTAACAGTCATCTGTGAGCGGCCCAAATGAAGGGACATTTTTTCCACTCTTGGAGCCTTAACATATTCCCACAGCCCGGACAGGGGATTAGTACAGAGCAGATACTGAAGGAAAACAAAAGTCTCCTAGTTAAAAGGTGATTTAACCGCAGGGGATGCCTGTGAGCATGATACCAGTGCCTGAAGCGTGCCGTGGTCCATCTCCCTTGGGCTGCCTGGAGAGGTGATGGAATGGACTGCAGAGATCCAGTCCATTTTCAGTGGAACAGTTCTTCCTCCTTCTACGAAAGGGGAGAGGAAGGGGACAGTTCCCCATAAGAAAGGGGAACTAAGGAGAGTTAGTTGCTTCTAGCAGTGTCTGACCTCTGGGTTGCCTTATCACTGTTGTTCAGTTGAGAGAGAGAAAATCTGCTTTGCTGGTTTTCTGGGTCACTCTTCCAAGTGATCCGTAACTCACATTTTAAATACCGTCCTCCAGAGCAGCATGGTGTGCCTGAGCTAAAAAGCAGTTGTGAAGGTTTTTAAGATGGTATCGGTCATTAGCTGCTGCACAGGAACTGGTACGGTTTTGGGTAAGGACAGAGCACACGGAGCCTGTGTAGAGCACTTGTTACACTGCCTTTAATGCTGGTTGATCTTAATTTTCCCAAGTTGGGTACATGCCTGAAAGCCCAGCTTTTGCTCTGCAAATAGCTTTGTCTGAAAGCAGGAGTAGTTTGTATTGGAAACAATTTCCTGATGCAGTTTGGATTTCCTTCTGAATAGTCCTTTGCCCCAGTGGGATGGTACACAGGGATTCTAGAACAGCTTAAGCGGCCTTGCCATGAGTTAAACATATCCCCTAATCTTTGCAAGGCAAATGTTTAAGTAGGAAGATACCGTGCGGCCACTGTTAAAAAACTAATGTGAAGGGTCAGGAGGAGAAGGAACTGCTCTGCCAACTTGGGGTTTGAGTCCATGTCTCCTCAGGTCAGCAGCATGCAGGGATCTGTGATGGGGCTTGCACGGGGTGAGCAGGAGGGGAAATCAGTCTCAGCTGGGAGGAGGAGCAGGGCTCAGAGGAAGAATTTAATTGCAGAAGACCAATTGTATGAGATGAAGGCAGCAACCTTGACGTCGTTTCATCTTTTCCAGGAATGCTGGTGGTGATTGTGTTGCTGCTGATTGCGATTGCTGTGGTTGCTGTCTGGCCGACACAGTAATGTGGGTGTGGGGCACGCTGGAGCTGCTGCGCCACAGCTGAGCACAGAGCACTCTGGAGAAGAGACCAACTTTGTGCAAAGACCTGTGATTTAAATAAACTCAATGGTATTAGAATGAAGCTGTGTCTGACAGACATCCGCTCTCCCTTCGGTGCACAGCTGAAGAACACTGTGTGATTTGGAGGGTTTGAACGTGAAAAGGACTCTCTTCCCACCTTCATTTGGCATTGGGGAGGCTGCAGCTGGCTCCACAAGAGCTGCGCTTCTCAGTGCATCTGTGGCTGAGCACGTGCTTGTGTTGGGGTGCTGCTGCCTGGCCTGTGGCTGCTGCTGCTGCTGAGCGGCTTTAAGACACTAAACCCCAGGTGTGGGTTGGGACTACAGCGGCTCCTTCACTTTCTCATACCTTCCCTGGGGATGAAACCACAGTTTTCAAGGAATAGATGTTTTGAGGAATGACTGCATCTGGATTCTCACAGGATGGGAAGCCCCGTGGGGAGACACAAGACCCCCACAAGATGCACAGAAACGCTGGTGAATGAGTCAGTCCTTGGGGGAGAGTTGTTGGTGTTGATCTCCAT